CGAAACGCTGTTTGGAAAACACTTCTTCTCCTCCTCCTCTTCCGCCTCCTCCTCCTCCTCTTCCTACCATCCCCCCCGAAACGGGGCTTGCCTCCGGGCCCGATGGGGGCTCTTCCCTGCGGGAGCACCGCTGTCCACACTCCTCCTCCTCCTCCTCCTCCTCCTCCTCTTCCTCCTTACCCCTCCTCCTCCTCCTTCTCCTCCTCCTCTTCCTCCTCCTCCTCCTCCTCCTCCCCCCCTTCCTCCTCCTCCTCCTCCTCCTCCTCCTCCTCCTCCTCCTCCTCCTCGTCCTCCTCCTCCTCTTTACCCACCTCGTTCTTTGTCACCTCGCCCTCTCAGCTCTGGGCGTCTCAATGTTAGCACACGGAGCAGTTTTGCACAATTTTCGGGCCCAGGGGCCGTCAGTGATCGATCCGGCTCGAAAGTTGCCGCTTGTTCACCTCCTCCTCCTCCTCCTCCTCCTCCTCCTCCTCGCAGACCTGGGCGCTCGAATTTTTGCACACGTTGGGCGGTCTCGTCCGGTGATCGAGCTCCGAGGCCATCGCTGATCGATCCAGCCCGAAGGGTGCCGCAGAAAGGTGGGGTCTGGGGCTCTGGCCGTGACCTTCAACGATGGTACAGTATTGTCGTAACGTCGGATCTCAGGGACGCTTCACCCTGATGTTCCGTCTGGGTCTCGCACGTGTGCAGCATGCAGCCCTGGCCGTTTGCAGCCAGCTCATTCAGCTCAGCTTCAGCCAGCTGCCCCCCGGCGGTAGGTTCTGATCCCGCGTTCGGTCGCTGTGTAATTAGGCTCGCGCGTAGCCCGCTCGACCTTTCGACCCGCCGCCTGCGCCTTCGCTTGCGGCCGCGACAAAAAAGTATCTCCCCCAGTGTTTCCAGAAACGATTCCCCTAGAAAACTTTTGGACGCTCTGACCGCTCGCGACCCCGATCCCCTCCACACTCAGGGTGAGAGGTTTGGGAAGCGAGGGGTGGACCCCTGCCCGAAGGGGAACAAGGAAGAGGAAACGCCCTAAACGACCCCCCGTCAACGGGCTTGATGGAATGCAGGAGCGCCGACGAGGGTAGCCTGGCTGAGGTGGGACGCATCGACCGCCAACCGCACACTCCTCGCAGCATCAGGTTGCGGCGCGAGGTTACCAGGATTCTCCCTGGCATCGCTCGGACGTGTGGATGTTTCCTTCGGCGAGAACCATCGAGGAGCATCCTTGATCATGTGGCGAAAAAGCCACGCGCGAAACCGAACAAAAACACACGGAATGGACGTCCGAGCGATGGCGAGTTACCGCAGCACCCGCCCTGCCATGGCCGCCCACGATCTGATGCGATGCGATTCGATGGTTACTGTTCGGTTCGATTCACCGGCACCGGCCGGGGCCAGCCAGAGCCGAGTGCGGCGCTGCGATTTCGCTCCCACTCCGTTCGGGGCGGTTCGCTGTCAATCCGACCCGTTGCCGACCCGGCCCGGCCTCTCGACTCGATGCCGCTCGGGCCCGACCCCGCCTGCCCGGGCCGACCTCCCCGGACGCCCGACGCTCCACGCTGTCCGAGGCGTGCGGCCCCCGAAGTTCACACCACCTCCCTGGGCGCACGCATCGACCCCCAATCGCCCGCTGATCGCCGATAGGGGCCCGACAGCCCCAGCCTGCCCAGGGAGGTGCGGATGCACTGACGGATGCCCATCACCGATCTATCGGCGATATGCATAGCCGATTCCAGGTCGATGTCGCCCCCCCTCTGCCTAGCCATGGCCCCCCGATCGTTGCCCCTCGTGGCCTTTCAGCTCGAGTCTTCGTGTTGGCCGCCCCGGGGCCCGCAGGGGGGCCCCCGGGGGGTCCGAGAGTGGCGAGGCGCCGTGCGCTCCAGTGCTTGTCGGGGCCCGGGGCCTCCGCAGGCCCGGCCTGCCCAGGCCGGCTTCTTTCAAGCAGTGGCGAAGCGCCCTGGCTCGCCTGCAGGCCCACCAAAGGAATTCACCTGTTACCACCACCACCACCACCACCACCACCACCACCATCATCATCATCATCATCATCATCATCATCATCACCATCATCATCATCATCATCATCATCATCATCATCATCACCATCACCATCATCACCATCATCACCATCATCATCATCACCATCATCATCATCATCATCATCACCATCACCACACATCACATCACCATCACCATCACCATCACCCATCACCATCACCATCACCATCACCATCACCATCATCATCATCATCATCATCATCATCATCATCATCATCATCATCATCATCATCATCATCATGATCATCACAACACCATCGTCAACAGAGCCTCGTCTGCGAGTGAATTGCGAGGAAGTGTCAGGCGTGAACCCCCTCCGTATGGGGCCCGCCGCTCACGTTTTTTATCCGAGCGGGTCATCGGGATCCAGAAACTGTCGTCACTTTGGGGCCCGTGAGGCCTGAATATGGAGGAACGCACCAGGCGGGAGCCTCGACTGTGAGCGAATTGCGAGGAAGTGTCAGGCGGGAGCCCTCTCCCTATGGGGTCCACTGTTCATGTTTTTAATCCGAGCGGGTTGTCGGGATCCTGTAACCGTCGTCGCTCTCGGGCCCCTGAGGCTTGGATATGGAGAAAATATTAGGCGGGTGCCTCGTCTTGGAGTGAATTGCGAAGACGTTTCAGGCGGGAACCGTCTCCCTATGGGGTCCGCCGCTCATGTCTTTTCCATCCGAGCGGGTCATCGGGATCCTGTAACTGTCGTCACTTTTGGGCCCCTGAGGCCTGAATATGGAGGCGCGCTCCAGGCGGGAGCCTCGTCTGTGACTGAATTGCGAGGAAGGGTCAGGTGGGAGCCCTCTCCCTATGGGGTCCGCCGTTCATGATTTTTTTTTGTTTCCCCGAGCGGGTCATCGGGATCCTGTACCTGTCGTCACTTTCGGGCCCCTGAGGCCTGGATATGGAGGAAGCACCAGGCGGGTGGCGGCCGCGTTGTGCATCGCGTTGGGCCTTCGCGCGTGCCACGAACGCAGTGACACGCATGACTTGTAGGAGTCCACTTGCAAGCGGCCGCGTCACCACTTCGGGCGCGCCCCCATCGTGTTGCACCTCGGCGATTTCCTGCAGGTGAAGCCCACGGGCTACATCGACCTCCTGACGGACGTGAGCGAACTCCTGGACGACGGGTCCTACATGCACGCGGAACCGTTGACGGTGGAGATTCAGAAGGCCATCGAGGTCTTCTTTCAGATTCCCTAAGTCTTCGAGCTAAAAGGCACGAAGCGCTTCGAGCCCGGGGACCCTCTGATCACGTTCTCGTGCTGCACGCGCGAAGACACGCCCTTCCCGCCAGAGGTCTGGTCCGCCTGGGTATCGACGTTGGCTTCGGACAACCACGGCGTCCTGGACCCTCGGCGCCAGCGCGAGAATTTTCGGCTCGGCTACGGCGCGGGCGTCTACTGGGAGACGCTGGCGAGGTGGATCAACGCGCGCGCTCGTCGAGACGCGCGGCGTTTGGGCGTGCCCTTTCGTTTTCTCGCAGGCCGTGAACGAGCGCGGCGCGATTCAGGGCGATCCCGAAGCGGGCTGGCGCCTCCTGAACGTCCCGGACGTGCGCGAGGCGGGGGACATCCGCGGCGCCTTGCCGGCCCAAGCCGGCATGGTGGTGCGATTCACGGCGGCGCAGGAAGAGCCGAGAAAGAAGTTGGGGTTCGCGCAGGAGCAACGGGCCGCCGTCGCGCCCTTCGAGTCCGACCCCGCGGACGAGCAGCGGCGCGAGGAACGTTGCCGGGCCAGTTTTTCCCACTTCCGCTACCTACCACAGGGGGCCTGGCTGCAGGCGTGCGGTTTCAAGGAGTCCCCGATCTACCAGGAGGTCACTCGAGGCGCTGCTGCAGGGCGCCGAAGGCGCCGACGACGACGGCGCGGCCGAGGCGCGAGCGAGGAGCTTACTCATGTTGAGGCACAAAGAGTAGGACCTCACGCGACAGAGCTCGGGGCCGCGCGCCGCGAGCCGCTCGGGGTTCAGCACGGCGCGCGCGTCGCGCCTCACCTCCACGCTGTCGCGGCGCCAGACGTGGCGCAGGGCGTCGCCGTCGACTGCGCGAGGGGCGAGGGCGCTGGTCGCGCGGGCGTGTCGGACGAGCAGCGGCGGCTGCGCCTCCACGTCATTTTGTCCCGCGCCACGCGCGCGCGGGAAATGCTGATCCCGCGGCCGCCGCCGCGAGAGTTCCTGGAGCGAGGGCCGCCAGCGCCCTTGCGGAAGGCGCTCCTGAAGTTCGACGTCAGAGCGGAAAGCCCCAGGGCAGAGGCGGAGCAGCTCGCGGCAGAGCTGGGCTTCGTGTTGGCCCCCGCCAGAACGCGGCGACGCCCCGCTCGGAGCGCGCGGGGTTGCCCCGACGACTCGGTTTCGCGCGCCAGCGGCTCGCGGGGTTGCCCTGGCGGCCTGGCCCGCGGGGCGGCCCCCGACGGCTGCGCGATTTCGCCGTCGGAGACCGCGCCCCTGACGGGCGCGGCGGCGAGGGCGCCGAGGAAAACCTACTACGCGCGCGCCCCTGCTGGGAGGCAGGTAAGGCGCAGGAGGAAAAGGAGCGGGGCGGCAATGAGGAAGGGGGGAAGGGGGTGGAGGTGGAGGAGGGCAATGCAATGGCCGAGGATGAAGAGGAGGAACGCGAGGAGCAGGTGGGAACTGGAGGTGGCGGAGGAAGAGGAGGAGGCGGACATGGGAGGGAAGAAAAATGCAATGAGTAGGACGAGAAGAAAGAGGATATGGAGAAGGAGGAAAAATGAGGAGGAGGAGGAGGAGGAAGAGGAGGAGGAGGAGGAGGGCTGAGAGGGCGGAAACAAATCTCCGCCGCACGAAGAAAAGGCGAAGGGCATGCTGAATCGATTTGCGTGCGGGGCCCTACCGTCGGAGTAGTTGTTCTTCGCGCAATATTGGTCTCTACGAACATTTCGTGGTAGGCAAAACAAATGCCGGGTCGGTCGGTCCCTGTTCAACTCTTTCGCCCGCTCTCCCGGCAGGCGTGGGGCGGCGATGGCGAGCGCGCGTCTGCTGAGGACGTGCGCGAGAGGACCCGCTGGGTTGCGCCCCCCATCTAGGATTCCCAGATGGGGTCGGAGCAGATGGTGTCGGAGGATCGCGCCGCATCGCCGATGCATCGCCGATGCGGCTCGATGCGGAGCCCGGCTGCTCTTCACGTCGACGTCGCCGCAGCATCGCCGACGTCGACGATGCATCGCCGGTGCATCGCCGATGCGTCGCCGATGCATCGCCGATGTATCGGCGATGCGGCGCGATCCTCCGACCCCAGTCATTCCGACCCCATTAAGGAGGCCTTTCCTCGAGGGGCCAAGGATGGGCTTTGGCAAGGCGTGCACCCCGGCCGCCTAGTATGCGGGGTCCTTTCCCTCCTTGCTGTTTTGTTCCCCTCCTCCTCCTCCCCCTCCTCCTCCTCCTCCTCCTCCTCCTCCTCCTCCTCCTCCGTCTCCTCTTTGTTTTTCATTGTTTTGTTTTGTCTTCTCCTCCTCCCTCCCGCCCTCCCTCCCCTCTCCGTCCTCCGCCTCTCGGATCTTGGCGCTTCCATGTTTGCCGTCGGGGCGGTCGCCTTCACGGTGTCGGAGCGCATTTTCGCCCTGGAGGAGGAGGAGGAGGAGGAGGAGGAGGCGGAGGAGGAGGAGGAGGAGGAGGAGGAGGAGGAGGAGGAGGAGGAGGAGGAGGAGGAGGAGTGCCCCACGGCCATCGCAAGCCGGCCCTGCTCGAGACACTCCGCAGACAGATGGGGTCTCTGGCTCTGGACGTGATCCCCAGCGAGGTTTTGATCCCAGACGTGCTCGCGTCGTGAAACAACTCACGGCGGGAGGTTTTCAGCTGGCTCCGCCCTCCGGGGTCCTCTCCCGGGCCCAGGGGCCCTCAACACAACGGCTCAGGATGAAAACCCAGTTCCTTGGAAGGGGTCGGGACTTCCGGGGGCCGCGCATGGAAGAAATCAGGGCGCCGCAGGTTTGGGATCTGTTTTCTGCAAACTTGGGTTCAACGGCCCAGAGAACGATGTTTGATCACAGCGTAGCGCACGCATGGGAAAGCCAGTTCTATATTTCCAGGCGACTCGATGAGGGAAGCTTCATTGCAAAACAAATGTTTTCTGCAATATCAGATCACGGGGTAGATGGGGCGGGTGGATCGCGCTGCATCGCGGATGCATCGGCGATGCGGCCCGACGTGGCGCCCAACTTTCTTCCCACGCCGACGTCGCCGCTGCGTCGCCGGGTAGATGGGGCGGGTGGATCGCGCTGCATCGCGGATGCATCGGCGATGCGGCCCGACGTGGCGCCCAACTTCCTTCCCACGCCGACGTCGCCGCTGCGTCGCCGACGTCGCCGATGAGATCTGCGATGCGGCGCGATCCTTCGACCACAGCTGCTCGGACCCCATGTGGGCGGCCTCTATTACGTAGAGGAAAGAGAACTATGCACATACACCGATTCTGGCCAGGCCCATCCTGAGCCCAGGATCGGTGCATACGCCCTCTTACCTTGGCCAGGAGGGTATATGCACCGATCCTGGGTCAAGGATGGACATTGTCAGGATCGGTGCATGTGCATAATTCTCTTCGCCCGAATTGCAGAGGCTGCTCACGGTCCGATTCGAAGTTCGATCCCATCCGATCCTCGAGCTTCGATTTCGACATCGACCGGGTCCGAGCCGACACGAGCCGAATTCCCTCTCCGGCCTGCAGGGGGGGCGCGCCAGATTCGCGATTCTAAGTGATCCGAGCCCGATTCCCTTCAGGAGGGGAAAAGACACACAGACACAATGAATCGTCGATTCCCCAGAAAATATTGGAAAATATGGGAAGTGGGGGGGGAAGACAAAAACCCAGAAACTATGGAAAAATACGGGGGATTCTTTTATTTGTGTGTATTTATTTGTGTGTCCTGGGCCCCCTTCATCCCTTCTGTGCCAAATCGGTTGGGATCCAATTCATTTCCGATCCGATGCGGTTTTGCGACTCGGTCCAGATCAGGTCTGGCTTGTGCGAGCGCCGCAGGTATTCTGGGCAGGCGCAGCCGTCTTTTAGAGCGCATCGGCTACATATGTGTATGCATTAGGCATTAGATGTCAGACGCATTCTTCGCCAGCCCTCCAGCTGCTTGTCCGCGGTCTTCTTTCCGCTTGCTGCAAGCAGGCAGCCCTTCCACAACGGATGCATTGCATCACGCATGATGCCACCATGTGGTTGGGCGCCCTCTTGATCGAAATTGGAGGGCCTTACGGGCCATGCTCGCTTTCGCCAAGTGACTGGGAATTTCCTGTCGGGCCATCTGGCTTGAGGCGCCCTGCCGAAATAATTCGAGAGATTTGTTCAACTCATAGTGCTGCCTCTGGTTTTCCAATAGCGGTCAGCATGTTAAAATTACCCTGCCAGCAATGCGCTGGAGATTTCGTCGCTGCACGCTTTACTGGTGCCTGATCCAGAGATGCCCTACTAATACATGGTCTAGTTATGTCCTTGCTTTCCCTGATATGCTCCGGTGCTGTCACTGACATTCGTTATTGTAGCACTCAAGCGAGGTGAATTCTAGACGCTTCGCGCAACCCCACCAGCCCATCCAGAATCGAAGCCCAGAGGAATTGCCTCGATCAGGGAAGTGGGCAGCACACAGAGGAAGGGCCCCCCAGTGGAGGCCTCTTGGAGCGTCTTGGGGGCTTCTTGGCGGTCCTGGGCGCCTCTTAGAGCGTCTTGGGTGCCTCGGAGAGATAGCTTCTTGGGGCCTCTTGGGGGTCTCTCTGGAGCCTCTTGGAAACCTCTTGGACGCCTGCTGGGGCCTCCTGTGCGCCTCTTGGGGCCCTCTTGAAGCGCTCTTGGCAGCTTTGGGAGCGCTCTTGGGGCCAGCTTGGAGGACATCGATCAAACAAGAGGGGAGCATTAGTTATCGTTGCCCCTCGGGAGCCTAAACAGTCGCCTCTTGGGGCGCTCTTGGGGCGCTCTTGGGCGCACTTGGGGCTGTCTTGGGTCTCTCTTGAGCCTCTCTCGGACACCTTGGGCTCTCCCAGGCGCTCTCCCAGGCGCTCTTGGCATCGTACATCTGCTCCAACGGAAGCGTGTTCGAGCAGTGGGGCGTTGACCCTAAAGCCGCCTCCCTCGTGGCACGGCTGCAAGCGGGTTTTGTCTTTCGTACGGCACGCTCGACACAGTTGTCCAGTGTCACAAGGGAGGGCGCCAGGGATGCCTCTTCGGAGCGACTGCATTCAACGCGTGATATTCGGTCCCGATCAGACTGCTCCACGAGGAACTGAGCCGCGAGGGAATTACCCTACGCGTGAAGGCGGGGGAGAAGGCCTTCTGGGGCACGGCTGGGGGCGAAGCGGAGGAAACCACCGTTGAGGAAGAAATCATCGACGCCACGTTCGTGGACGATGAATGTATCGTGTTGGTGGTTGCTTCCCTCCTGCTGCTCGACCGCGTAGTTCAGACGCTGCTGGAAATGTTGTGCTGGCTGTTCCGTTTGTGCGCGATGGTGATCAAGTGGGCTCCGGGTGAGACGGAGTGCATGCTCCAGTGCAGGGGCAAAACTGCTAGCGCGCATTGGGAGCAGCACAGGCACGATGACGGGCGTGTACGTACAATTAAAACAGGATGATGCCATCAAGTTGTCCATCGTGTCGGAGTACAAGCATCTGGGGAAAGTTGTCTCAATCGCGAGAACATGTAAACCTGATGCTGAATAGAGAGCCGATGCTGGCATGGACACATACGCGCCAATTGCGATCTGTGTTTTCGGTGCCCCGAACATTTCAGTTGCGTCAAATGTGCATGCCTTGCAGGCGCGCATACTGACCAAATTGATGTTCCATGCGCACGCTGTCACGCCAGACGCGACTTTGCTGCGCACGTCGAACTAAATTACATGAGAGTGTTGAGACGCATTGTGGATAAGGTCCGGTTTGGTCTTGGGCAGGGTACGTACCTGCTGAGGCAATCTTTAGGTGCAGCATCCATAAATGCTCAGCAATGCAGGCTAGACTGCTGTACCTGCGGAGGCTCCGCCTCTCGGGCAGGGAGCAGCTGCTGGAGTTAGTGTCGTCGACGCGCAGCGGGAAAGCAATGCCATATACGCGGGTGGTGCTTGAAAACCTTGTCACCGTGCAAAAACTGAGCAGCCGATGTTCAGAGTTGGGGGACCCCGGCGAGAAGGCAGGGCACTGGTTGGATCTGATCTGCGGCCCAGACCAGAGCTGGCACAATGTCGTAGATGCGATTCACTTTGCAGAGAGCAAGTGCGACAGCCATGCCGCTCCGCAAGGGGTGCAACCCCATTTTGCTTGCCACATGTGCCCAGGGCCTAACCGGCGAGCGTTTGCAACTGGGTTGGGGCTCGTGCAGCACCAGCGCGCCGTTCACGGCGTCAGGAACGAAGCGAGGAGGTACGTCAAGGCGGACGGCTTTTGCCCAGTACTCAAGACTGACATCCGGCAAGCTTCCGCTGCAGTCGTCACCTCTCGGCACAGAGATGCTACGTTCGGGGGCTATCGAGCCTCTCCCCGACGACTCTGTGGAGTCCCTGGAAAGAGAAGACAGGGCCTTGTGCCGACAGCCGAACGAGGAGGGGCATGCCAGACCGTTGGCTGCAGGAGCGGTGAAGACCGCCGCACGATGCATTTGAGATAGTTTCACACGCGCAGAAGTTGAGACGCTTCGAGTTACCTTGGGAATCTCATCAAGAAAAAAAAGGCTATTAATGATAATAATAATAGTACGATGAACCAGAATAAGAGAACATATTAATACTACGAAGCAGTAGCAATGATAATATTACTACTATTCATATTAATAATAATACGAATGATGATGATGGTGATGATGATGATGATGATGATGATGATGATGATCGTAATACTAATACAAATACCAGAACAATATTAATAATTCTACTAATGATATTACTAGTAATCATTATAATGGTACTAATAATAATGATAATAATTGGAGTAATAATAATGGTAAGAAGAATACTACTACTACTACTACTACTACTACTACTACTACTACTACTACTACTACTACTACTACTACTACTAATGATAATAATATTAATAATAATACTGATAATAATAATCCGTGCCCCCCCCCCCAGGAGGCTAACATGTGGCCAACACCTCAGTATCAAAACAACCAAAAACATGGTGTTGGCATTCCCGCCGAGGCCTCTTGGAGCGTCTTGGGTGCCTCTGGGGGGCATATTGGGGCCTCTTGGGGGTCTCTTGGGGGCCTCTTGGGGGCATCCTGGGGGCCTCTTGGGGGCCTCCTGGCCACCTCTTGGGGTCTTCCGCGGGCACATTTGGGAGCCTTGGGTGCGCTTTTGGGGCCATGTCGCGTCCAGATCCATGGGGGGGGTGGGGGGGGGGGTCGAGACTCCCTCCCCGCCCGCAAGCCGTCTCGCTCACACACCCGCCCTCCCAACACACACGTAGCACCCGAGTCTGGCTCGAGCCTCAGCTGATTCAGCCGTCGTTTTTGGATAGGCAGCTACTGGGGGCCCATCCGCCGCCGTTGCCGCCGCCGCCACCGCCGCCGCCGCCGCCGCTGCCCGCCGCCGCCGCCGCCGCAGCCGCCGCCGCCGCCGCCGCAGCCGCCGCCCGCCGCCGCCGCCGCCGCCGCTGCCGCCGCGCCGCCCGCCGCCTCGCCGCTGCCGCGGCCGCCCCCTGCCGCCGCCGCCCGCTGCCGCCGCAGCCGCTGCCGCCACCGCCACCGCCGCCACCGCCGCCGCCGCAGCCGCAGCCGCCGCCGCCGCCGCCGCCGCCGCCGCCGCTGCCGCTGCCGCCGCCACCGCCGCAGCCGCCGCAGCCGCCGCCGCCGCCGCCGCCGCCGCAGCCGCCGCGGCCGCCGCCGCCAAGCGTACTTTGTTTTGTTGTTTGACAGGGATGGTGGGGGTCAAAACACCCCCCATATAGCGAGCCGTTTAGCTCACTCCCACCCGCCGTCCCAACACCCGAGCCTCGGCATGTTCCGCGGTCGTTTTTTTGATAGACAGCCAGTGGTAACCAGAACCGAGCCCATGTGCGCGACACCGGGGCGAGGTGCGCCACGCGTGCCACGCGCACCACGCGCGCCAGGCACCCATGGGGCCCGAGCGTGCCAGCCACGCCTAGTGCGCCATGCTCCTTCCAGCCGCGCCAGGTGCGCCACGTCCAGGGCACGTGCAGAGTGTGTCAGGTGCGCCCGCTCTCGTGACAGCACACATCGGGAAACATGTCGGCCCCCACCATCCCTGTCGAAAACCAATGCCCATCATTGTGTCTGGTGGGCGTGCGCGCAACAGGCCATACGCCACCACCCCCGCCGTCCCTGACAAAACCCAGTTGGCAATGATCGCGGGGTGGCTGCGCACTATCCACATTTAGCCGCGAGGTGTATTTTGTATTGTGTGTCTGTCATGGATGGTAACCCTGCGCGCAGCAGACAATATGCTGACACCTCCGCGGCCTCTTTCCAAAAAACAATACACGTTGCCCGCGGGCTTCACCAACATGACTCCAGATGCTGCCCCAAAGTGTATTGTGTACTGATTGTTGAAAGGGATGGTTGGGGGGGGGCCGCATCGGGTTGGTTGCGCATGCCCCGAATTTGGAGGCCGAGTGCGTTTTGTATTGTTTTGTTGATAGGGATGGTGGGGTACCCTCATGGTGTGCGCATGGTTCCAGGTTGGCTTCCGGCCGGGGGGGGAGAGCGCGTCTATCAATAAGGATCAGTGATCAACCAGTCCCCGAAGGTGAAGAGGGAGGGGTGGAAGAGGAAGCTCCCTAAACCACTTTACGCCCTAAAGGGCTGGTGGGATTCTGTCTGCAGTAGCTTACTATGACTGTGTTGCCAGCATGTTTCTGACCGATCTGGGCGAGTACTTTACTCGCATGCGTTGCTTCGATGATCGGTCGAGGACCCAATTAAGAGGAGGAGGAGGAGGAGGAGGAGGAGGAGGAGGAGGAGGAGGAGGAGGAGGGGGGAGACAATGGCCTTGATAAGATTGCTGAAGATGTTCAGAATCAGGAGGAGGAAGAGTATGGTTGCAGCTGCAGAAGCTGCATCGTTGGAAGAGGAGAACAGCGCACAGGTCCAGAGCATTGAATGTGCATCCTGCCCGGGCCTGAAGGCCTTGTTCGCTTCGGATAGAGGATTGTGCATGCGCGTTCGTTCATGATGTGATCACCATGCGCCTCTACCTCTTGACCTGGGGGGTGGCAGTTCCTTTGGCGTCTGTTTGCGCAATTCGGCCGCGATCATTGTGACATCGTATTCATGCGGTGGGAGAGACAGACGTTGACCTTCTGTTCACCCTGGCGGGAGCCAGTCGTTCCTCCCGTGCCCAAGGGCCGCATTTGGGAGGTTCTGTGAGCAGCCGGTATGCTTGTAGCACCCCGTGCCGTCCGCGATGGACAACCATGTTGTCAAGAGGGAAGTCTGACACCCAAACACACATACACGTCGACTCCCAGTACGATGTATCAAGAGGTGGGGAGCGGGCGGCAAGACGAATGCCCGGAACGTGTGGAGGCACGTGGGGTGTCCTGGGATTCGTGCGTCTACGTGCTTCTCTTCGGGGGAGCGTAAAATCCGGGTTTGCCAGGACTCGGGTTCGCTATCGTTTTTTGACGACCGCGACTCGGATTTTGACGAGGAGGAGTTTTGTGGGTTGTCTGCAGCGGGAGGCCTCGTCAAAATGCAGGCTCGGCCTCGTCATTTTTTTGACGACCTCGTCGGGGATTTCCGAGTCCCCCGTACCCGGGTCTTACGTCTCCCCGATCTCTGTGTGTACCTGGGCCCCTTCCGCTGGAGCCTGCGAAGGCTCCAGCCCGCAGCCGCCTCCCTCCCGGCGCTGCTGCACCTCTGCTCCCGCGGGCGGTGCCCTCGAGGATGCGCCGGCAGACCGACGCGGGGCTCCGAGACGACCGGTGCCGGCCGCTCACAGGCGCCAAGGGGGGTCGTGCACACCCTCCCCCTCCTCCCTCCTCCTCCCTCCTCCCTCCTCCTCCTCCACGACCTCCTCCTCCTCCTCCTCCTCCCTCCTCCTCCTCCTCCTCCTCCTCCTCCTCCTCCTCCTCCTCCTCCTCCTCCTCCTCCTCCCTCCTCCTCCGCCCCTCCTCCTCTACGTAAGAATGGGCCTTCGCCGGAGTGTGCTTTGGTGCGCGCCCACGTGGCTCGGAGGCGACGATAGGGGCGAATAGCCCAGGGGAGAGCAATACATGTCTTCAGGAGCGCCGATCATCGATGCCTTCGAAGAGGCTCCCAGGCGAATACGTGTACTGCCCGCCCCTGGGCTAGCCGAGGGGTTCAAGAGAGGGGGTTCAGGTCAAAGCAAACGGGGGTCAGTCAGAGCGCCCCGCCTTGCAGAGCCAGGGGTGCTTTGACCTGGGATTGCGCGCAGGATCCTGCGGGACCATGTAGGATCTGCAGGATCCTGCAAGGCCTGGCTAAGCAAGGTTTGCACTGACCCAGGTCAGTGCGTCCCCGACGCCCACTGGGGCCACTACATCGCCGATCGCTGTGCGATAGTGGCGTCTTTCGCGCTTGTGTTTGGTCCCCCCGCGGCCCTCAAAAAGCCGCGCACCAAAGGTCACTCTCACCCAGGGTCACTCCTTCGTGTAGCCGAAGGGGGGAATGGCGGGAGGAGGTTCGCCGTCTCCATTTCGAGAAGGATACTGATGCCGCTGACCGTCCTTCGTTTCCATCTGTTCGGGCCTTCTGGGGGAACGTCGCAACGAGTGGATTATTCGCACTGAATCCTGGTCAGAACGCACCTTGGGAAAGACCATTGGTGACGTTGGCGGTATTTGTGTGTTCCCGCATCTTTGCCGTCTGTGTGTTCGCAGGCAGCGTTTGGACAACACGCAATGACACACAGTGACGTACACATCAATTTTTGTGGAGGTCCGCGCGGATCACCGAAAGTGTGTTCCCCACCAACAGGTTGGGGTTGTCAGGTTTTGAGACGAAGTCCGTCCGTCAGTCCTGCATAGCGTGCCCGCTAGGCCCAGAGAGTTCCCGAGTGTTTTTGAGAATCCCGCCTCGCCAGCCCCGCATATCGCGGTCGGCAGGCACAACTGTTCCCCGAGGGTCCTTGAGAATTCCGCCTGGCCGAACCCCGCCATGGAGGCGTCAATCCGTCCAGGCGTCACGACGTCGCCCCGTCCACAGACATCCAGAACAGAAATCTAGAAACATCAACTGCAGGCATGAACGACTCACATCCATCAGACGCATCAAGACAACGCATCAATCACAAGGCAAGTACAAGCATTGAGAGCATGCATCAATGCCACATTTTCACAGGAGACATGAATGCCAGGCATAGAGGTCCAGCATTGAGCCACCATCAATGGCAGAAACCAGTACCATACAACAACCAATTCCGTAATTAATTATTTCCTTTCGGCGTTTGTTCCCGAATTTGGTACTGTTTGTTATTCTGGCCAGCTTGAGCTTGGCGCGCATGCCTTGTTGGATAAGACGACTCTATTCGGTCTCTGCTGCATTCTACTCTATCACGTTCTGTTTGGTTGTGCCCTGTTCTGTGCATAGAGTTTGTTCTGTTCTGCTCTTGACGGCCAATCAGTCGTTGCTGCGTCTGTTTTTGTCCTGTGGCCAGCCTTACGTCGGCGCTTGACAGAGCCATGAATTTACAGCTGCTGCAGTGAACCGTTTTCAACTATGTGTTATAGTATCTTGTTCTAGTCTTCTATACTGTGTTGTGATATGTTGTGTTCTCGACGTGCCTGCGTGACGTCGTGACGGCTGTACCGTGAGATACATCGTCCAATCGGTCTTGATTGCGCTTGTTTGTTCTTGTGACCAGCCTGGCCTTGGCGCGCACGTGACTATGACATGGCTTCGTTTTGTTAGACTATGACATGGCCGATTCTGTTATGATGTTCGTTTCACAGGAGGCCGTGAATTGGTAGCGGAGGAGGAGGAGGAGGATGAGGGGGAGTGGGAGGGGGAGGAGGCAGGAGGGAGGAGCAGGATGAGGAGGAGGATATAGTAAGTAGCATTATGTTGTGTTACGTTATGTTCTGCCCTGGACGGGCCGGCGTGAGATTGTCACGCCCGTCATTTTCGATATGCCGTTCAACCGGTGGTCGTTGCGCCTATTTTTCCCGTGGCCAGCGCGGGGCCCAGCGCGCATGTCGCGCATGACAGGACCGCGTTTCTCGGTGTCTGCTGTATTCTGCTCTATGACGTTTTGTTCGGCTCTGGATTGTTATCTGAATATAGGTTTTGCTCTGTTTGCGTTCGACGGGGCAGCGTGACGTTGTGACGCCCGTCACGTTTGATCTGTCGTCTGATCGGTCGTTGCTGCGCCTGTTCTTGTCCTGTGGCCAGTATTACGTCTGCGTGGATTCTGCGTTTGTCAGGGCGCCATTCATCGGTCGATGCTTCATTTACCGTATGCCCTGGTATGTTTCATCATGTTCTAGTATGTTATATTGTATTGTTGTGTTCTCGACATGCTGGCGTGACGTCGTAACGCCTGTCACGTGGGATACGTCGTCCAATCGGTCTTTGTTGCGCCTGTTTCATCTTGCGTCCAGCCTGGTCTTGGCGCGCACGTCGCATTTGTTTATATCATGGCACGGCCGATTCTATTGTGATTTCCATATTCAGGGTTGTTTTACTCCATTATGTTGAAGTATGCTCTGTTATGCTCAGCTCTGTCATAAGACGTATGGTTATGTTATATGATGTTATCATGTTGTGCCTCGTAGTACATCGTTGTTTATACGTTACATGTTCATTATGGTATGCTTTTCTCTGTAAAACTTGTGATACATCTCTTCAACCATAGCAGGATGTTCAATCATAGTCGATGTCGTAGCGGTAGCAGTCGTATAACAGACATACATTGTTGTGATGGTTATGTTGTGCCATGGTCGTTCGATTATGTTCTGTTTTGCCATGTCATGGTATTTCTTTTCCAATGCGAAACAGCGTATGACATTTGAGTGCAGTCGTTGCCGTCGCGGTAGCAAATTTGTAATAGTTCTGGTGTGATTGTTGGGGTTAGTATGGCACATTCTGTTGTACCCCCTATACCATGCAACGCTTTGCTATGTTATGTGCTGATCGACTATATGTCATGTTTTGAGCTGTTATGGTGTGCTGTGTCATGGCATGACATGTGATATTGTAAGAACATGGCCTTATGGCAGGTTTCGCCGGCCTTGACGCAGACCCTGTAGGCGGGACCTCCCCCGCGACCCCCGCTATGCCCACCCGCGAGCCGGCCTGCGACCAAGCCGCGACCCACCCGCGACCCACCCGTGACCCACCCGCGATCCACCCCGCGACCCACCCACATTGCTGTAACGAAAAATCGGCGTCTGCTGCGAGCTCATTGTATAAATTGTAAAAATAGGCGCCTGCGGCGGTCAGAATCGGGCCAATGGGGTCTTTGGAAATTGGACCACGAAACGTGCCCGCACTAGTTCATGCAATAGTTGGAAACCATCACGTACATCGTACCGTGCCTCGTGCAATAGTCGGGGTGCAATAGTTTGCTCGCTCGAAAACAACAGCTTATCTCTGCGATGCAATAAGTTGTGCTCTCGCTTACTTGCGAGCAATAGTTTGCCATAGTTGGCCTGCCACGATGCAACATATGTGTCTGGTCACGCAAGATGACGCAATGGTTGAGCCCGCGGGCGCAATAGTTCGCAATAGTTGCGCGCAATAATTCCACGCAGCGTACTATTGCAACTGCGGTTGGCGACCCCATTTCCAAATACACCATTTTTTTTGGACCGGCGGGCTGCCGACGTCCCCGCCACCCCCTCACTCTTATCCGCGACTTCGGGATGCTACGGTACTCTTGGGGGTCCACGCTGGCAAACAGATCAAGTTATTATTTTTCAAGACCGCCTTGCAACATGTCAAGCTCATGCCAAATTCATTAGGTTTGCCAGCGCTACCACCAAAACGTTACGAACATCTACTGGTTTTCTGCCAGGTTTTCTGCCCGCGCGCACTTGCTGAAATCATGAGACAACCGTGTGAGTTTAGCCATCTCGTCCAGAACCCGCATTCTCATCTCACCACGCGGTGCATTCGCGTTGTCCTGCCATGCGCCCGGCACACGAGTCCGCATGAAATAACACCATGCGGGCCAGGGGCGCCCGCCGCCACGCGCGGTTGTCGAAGTCTGCCCAAAACCAGCGGTTGTCGAAGCATCTCGAGATAGAGCGCTTCCACACACCCAGGACAAACGAGCCATGATCTTCTCACCATCGTTGCTGCCGTTGTCGATGTCGTCATGGTTTGCCAGCCTCGAACATATCCCTATCCCTAAGATTGACACGCCAAAAGGCGATGACGATCTTATGGATTGGCCCTCAAAAAATAAGGGGATCCCTAAGATTGACATCGTGATGAGGAGGTGCCCAGCAAGGGATAGGGATATGTTCCAGGCTGGTAAATGGTATCGCGCCCGCCCGAGTCGCCGGCCCGCACCGGAGTGCCCGCGCGCCAGCGTTGTTCCGAAAGTGAGCGCCAGGGAAATGGACGTCCGAGCGACGGCAAGACTTGCGGGTGGGAGGGTGGGATGTTTGCGTGAGTAGTGGAGTCGACAACTCATTGATTCGGTGAAGATCATTGCGCAGCTCAGGCCACATGCCTTGCACCGCGTAGCTTTCACCAGGTGTCTCATTCCGCATTGCCTGCACAACATAGACTGTGAAGGCCTTGCGGACGGTGCCGCCGACCCTGCAGGCGGGACCTCCCCAAGGACCCCCCCGTTGGCGAGCCCTCCGGCCGGGGACCCGCTGGGACCCGGGGGCGGGGGGGGCGGTATTCTAATTCAGGGCTCCCCTCCCCCTCCCCCCCCCCTCAACCCCCACCACCCCTCGGCAGGGAAGGCAGAAAGGGAAGGAATTCGATGTACTTGCGACGTTCCTTTTCCTTGTTCTTTTCTTTTGG